TTTTTTAATTTAGCACAGTTTATGTTCCAATAGCCTTGACGAATTCTTGAGGCTTTGATAAATTTAGAACCAGGCTGGCTCGTGCACACTATGGCCTAACCCTTGCAAATATTGCAATGTTTCACTTCCAACCAAAAATGTAGACCTCATACCTCCAACAGATCTGTTCAATCACAACCTGTAATTGCCACCTTCCAGGTAATTTTACCTGGCAGAATTTAAATAAATGACTGAGGTGGAGGTGGCAGTTGCATAAATAGCTCCAGTATCACAATGGCATTTACCTGTTGCTTTGCATTGGCACTGGGTATCATTGGCACTAATCAGGCTTTCCCCATGTTATCACCCCCTGGTCTTTGTCAGTGTATATGCAGTTTCCTTACTCTTTCCTAGAACATCTCTGAAGTTTTGAAATTAATTGCTATTTTCCTGCAAAAGTGAAAGGACTCAAAGGACAAAGTGGAAGGGCTGTCTTGTTAGATGTTAAACCCCACTTCACGTGCCTGATCATAAAAAGACATTCTCCTCTGGTTATTTCTCTGATCCGCTGTGATTTCCAGAGTATTTTCTATTGCTAATGGTGAAGGAACTTGTTCCTTTGGAGATGGGTCACATTTTTTGCTAACCCTCAGGACATTCAGACATGCAATATAAGATTACCTAAATTAGAGGGACAGATGTTAGGCTTTAAGAGCTTTTTGTTATCTTGGCAGTTAAGTGTTAACAATTCCAGGATATTGAAACCCTAATCTTACATATTGTAATTTTTTATTTGTTTGTTACTGTACATTTAAATTATGAAACACTCTGTATCAGGTTTAGGATTTATTTTAGTTTAATTTTTTTTGAGAGATCTTTCTGCTGTAAAGAAAGACTGGCAGAAGTAGCTCAGCAGCATAATGTGCAAGTATAAATAGAATGCAAGCTGTCCATTTATCTCAGTCCTGATCTACTTATATTCATCTGATGCTTATTACAATCGTGGTTTGTCTCTGAGCAGATACATCCAGTTAGGATTAAGCTTGGACAACTAACCTAATTCACTCTTGTAGCTTAATTCAGGGTTTCTGTCTAGATTTCTTGTGATACCAAATAATTCTTTGAACACCCAGCCCTCAATAAATCAACATCAAAATATTAAGAATATTTATTGCTGTCTATGTTTTTTTGAGATACTAAGTTTGATTGCAGTGGGGTTTAGGTTCACACAGATATATCTTCATTCATACCTATTTCTGAAATTTCTTTCCACTCCAGCTTCTGCTGCTATGTAATGGTATTTTATTAAATATATTTTCACATGGCAGATTCTCTAGAATGCTTGATAGGACCCTCTTTTGAACTTTTTGCCAGAATGTTCTGCTGGAGTCGTCTGAAAGTGAAAAATAAGCACACCTGTCCAATTCTAACAAGCATAAAAATAATAAATGCAAGTGATCTAGAATATCCATGGAATAATGATTTATTTCTTGGATTTTCAGACAGGTTTTCTCAGCATTTTCAGTCTACAAGAACCCTGTGGGATTTGTGGATGTAAGAATATCAACCTTTGTGTCTTTAACACCTCAGCTACATTTTCTTTTTCATTTAAAATCTGTCTCTAGTTGACTCTATTGTTTTAGCCTAGTGACTGGCCTCTGGCATGGATTAATCTTTGACAACTTGTTTTCAATTTTAAAAATTAACACAACCAACTTTCCATAATTCAACACTTATATAGGGTTATAAAAAAGCTCAGGACTAAGCATAGTAACAATCAGTGCTAACTTGTTATGCTGTGTGGGTGTTCAACTCTATAAAACAATTTACATTTCAGATTAGAAGTAACTTGTATATTATCTTTTAACGTGTGCAAAACAATCAGTCTGTACAAGAATGTAGCATGAGTCCAATTTAGCTTTCTGTTTATATGCCTGTTCTCAACAAAATAAATAAGTATGCAGGAGATAATTGATGACATATGATTTAAAGAGAAAAATCTAAACAACATTTTTCACTTTTCTTTCCCCTCATTTCATTTCCACTGTTACTGCAAGTGTGCTGCAAGATTCATTTGGCAAGATTTAGCTTGTAAGTGCCCTTATATTTGCTTTTAGAAACTGATCCAAGAAACAATAATTTCTGAGCTCTGCAGATGTGTATGGTAGATGCAGTTCCCCATGTAATTTTCAGTCTTTTATATTTTTCATGTGAGATCAGTCCTGCAGCCCTGTAGGTTGTTATGGGGGGTGTGAAGGCACTTGTGATACTGCTGTTTCTCCTGCCTGCCAGAACTCCAGGGAAAATGAGAGGGTGAGTGAAGAAGACACAGGGTGCACAGGTGTACTCTTGAGCCCAGGGTGTGTGGTGAGATCTTGAAGTGCATGAGAGCTGCCATGTTTCTTGCCTGTGAGATATACTCTTTTCCCTGAAAAACATGCTCTACAATAGGAAAAACAGCAACACCAGGACAGTGGCTTATCAGGGGATATGAAGAAGTGTGGAGAAATTGAATAAATCTAGAAAAAACTCTAGAACAGTGATGATTCTGCTGCCAGAGCCTGCTGCTCTGTACAGTTAGGGGGGATACATGCTCCTTAGTGTGAATCTTTCAGCATCACATCAAATGTGAGGATGTAAGGAAGAGCCTGTAAATAATTGTTAGGATTTGGAGGAAAAATCACAGTGGGCCGTTTGAGATGCCCTGTAAAGATAAGGCCTCTGTACAAACAAAAAGATCAAAAGGAGCAGTAGGAACATTTAGTAGTGAAGAAAGTGATGGCATCTTAATTTAATGATTCCCAAGAAAACTTGAAGTTACTGTTCTAAAGTATTTTGCGTGTCCCTGGGAAAGGAGGAATCAGAGAGAGCGTACAGCTGTAGGTCGACGTGGCTGCTTCTTTGTCAACGTACAACACTCTGCCTGCAGTCAGAACAGACCTGGAAATGAAGCATGAGAAAAATAAGCCCTGTTTCATTGCCACAATTGTGTTGATTCATCAGGCTGTCTGCAGTCATTTAAAGATAATTGGAGGGGTGTTACCCACTGAATGTTACTGTTTATGTGATGTGAAAGGAGAGATAGGTGCAGTCTAGTTGGTTCTCAAAGAATATTGCTGTCTATAAACTCCAGGGTAATTTGCTGATGCTGTACAGAGCAGAGATGTCCTTCAAATAAGAGCTTTTGTTGTAGTAATGCCAGCAGCAAGGGAAAATATTCATATTATTTTCCTGGAGATAGAAGCTGCTGCTGTTTGGAAAACAGTGCATTACACCATCTGTTTCCTTCTGATTGCGCACTACCATAGCCATTGTTGTGATTAATTTCTTTGCTTCCAGGCACAAATTGGAGTGCTTGAAAGAAGATTAAAAGCTTGTTTGTGGACAGGGATGTAGCTAATGGCTAGATTTCAGTAGGATTGTGTGTACTTACCAACTTTACAGTTTAAGTCATCAATCTTCTGCATGCATTTGATATGTGAAGAAAGAAAGGGGAACATCCTTTTTCCTTGTAATAATCCTCTACATGAATTGCTGGTGAGGTTTTCACCATGTGCCACTGGTGTGTGTCATCACACGCTCAAAACGCCACTGGGACAAAGGGTCACTTTTCATAGAATCATTTAGATTGGAAAAGACCTTTAAGATCATCAAGTCCAGCTGTTAACCCAGCACTGGCAGGTCCACATCTAAACCATGTCTCTAAGTGCCACATATATATCTGTCTTTTTAAGTACCTCCAGAGTTGGTGACTAAACTGCTTCCCTGGGCAGCCTGATCTAGTGCCTGTCAAATGTTTTTGTGAAGAAATATTTTCTAGTATTCAATCTAAACCTCCCTGGTGCAGCCTGAGGCCACTTTCTCTTATCCTATCTACCTCATTTTCTAGTGAGGCTTGGCTGCTGAAAGAAGCTGTGTAGTTTCATCCTTATCCCACTTGATTTGTCAGAACAGGTCCTCAGGTGATGAGGCCAATGTGCCCCAAGAGCCCCAAACAAGAAGTTATCCTGCCAGGTGGGAGGGAAGCCCTGCTGGCTGACAAATGGGCACAGACATCTCCTGGCCACAGCTGGTGTCTCCACTGGGAAACTCAGCAAGGAACACATTGTGGTGCTGTCTCTGTGGATGTTGTTGCTACCCTTGATGTGGCCAGTCCTGCTGCTTTGTGCCCCCGGTGAGAAGCAGCACAAGAAAATGCAGAATTTTGCCCAATATGGATGCTGTGCCTTACCTCAGTTCCTCTTTTCTTTGGACCCTGAGTACACAGTACACTGGCAGTGTGTATCATGGTGGCATTCCACCACTAGGCTGTTCCTGTCCCTCCTTCCTGTGAATTTCTGGGTACTTAAATAAGTTTGAAAAGCCTTTGATCCAGGACATGTAGCACAGCTACAAGATGCAGTGGTCCATCTACGTGATATAATGAATTTGCCAAACAAGTGATATTTGTATGAAACTCATCTGGTTTTAATTTTTTTAAAAAATATCTTTCTTGTTGTCACTTGAATGTTGTCACATTTCAAGACTGCCACATTTGTCCACAATTTCATGTCAAAAGTTGAACCTCTTCCAGCTAGGATTGCAATAATTCTCCTCTGTTAACATGGTGTATGCATAATAATACTTTGTAATAACGTATTTAATATTTACTTCAGTGTGACTTATTTAATGTTTGTCTGTTTGAATTTACTTTTAGAGTAATAGATGATACATCATATTTTAAAACTCTTCTTCAGGGTGATGTGTATAAACATGTATTTGGTATATATTTGGGTTGTGGCAGGTCTGTTGCCATACAGGACATAGTTAAACAGAATTGGGAGGAAAATCTTGACTGCCAAGTAAAGCAGCATATCAATTTCCTCTCTCCTGCACTGAAAGAGACAGGGGGAGCAGACAGTGTAGGGTTTCCTGATATGTTTTAAGAAAGCCTGGGATTCATTTCCCCTCCCTTCCTTCCTATTAGCTGTTTGTTAACTCCCAGGAAGACCCAGGTTTTTCTCGTAAGACCTCTCTGCTCACATATTCTGGAAACGGGCTCTGCCTTTGAAGGGCTCAGTCCGCTGTGCAAATACAGGGGGAGGAAGAGGAGTTGGATTGGTGATGGGAGTCTAACTTTGGGCAAATCAGCTGAAGAGGAGTTTCTAATTGAATTCACAATGGTATTTGCTTCTAATTCTCTGGCATGAGCATAGCACTTGTCCCTGAAGGATACCAGGTGCTTGAGACAGAGTAGGAAATGCAGCAAATGTCAGTGTGAGGTTTCTGTCTTCGGAGTGTGGAGCTGTGAACTTACAAGCAAGACTGTAAAGTTAAAAGAAAGTTGTTCAACTCGCCTTTCTTCAGGAGAAACCTCGTGAGCTTCTTTGCAACAGCTAGACATCCCTCACATCAAGGAGAAGGATGTGAAGAAGGAGGTGATTGTAGAATTGTGATTGTACCAGCTACTTGGGATGAGCGCTGGTGCTGGATCTCCCCGTGCGGCTGGAGCACATTGACAGCCTGGATGTTTTGTGGGGGCTTTCCTTCATCCTAAACAGTGCAGGACTGTTAGTTTGGATATAGTTATTTTGGATAAAACAGTAAAATAGTGACAGTTTTTCGCCTTTTTTTATTTGCTTAAAATGTCAGTTGCTAGTCTGACCTGCTTGTGTGAGGAGCTGTGACTTCTTTATTCATACTGATCATACTGAAAGTAGGCTGAAGCTGTGGCAAGATGTCCTCTCTGCTGGATGCAGCATGCTAGGAGCTGAGAGCGTGTTGCAGCTTCATGCAGAAGATATCTTGGTATTTTCAGTGCATTAACTGCAACTGATCTTTCTTCTTTCTTTCTAATGGAACTAGATACTGGTTCCTGAAGAAAGGCATATACAATACAAATAACTGCACTGCACGCTCTTCCAGGACTTTAAATCTGAGGGCTTTTTCATCATTTTTGATATCATCTGAATTTGACAAAGTATTTTCATGCTCCATTGACATTTAAAAACAAAATCAGAGTGTTTTCCAGTGTGTTAGAAGAGAGTAATTCTAAAGAGGAGATCTTTTATTTTCTTTGCTGAAGATACACCCATGTTTCAACGCCGCCTTTTAAGGGAAGGACATGAAAGTCCTCTTAGGATCCTACAAAGATTCTTCCAAATCCCTCATGGCAGAAGACACTCAAGAAATAACCCACATCAAATATGCTCTGGTGAGGTGAATGTATATGTGATCCTCTAGTGTGATGTGTGTGTACGCAGAATGTTGCGACTGAACTGGAGCAGCATGTGAGTTAATATGAGCAGTAGGCAGCCCCGGATTCGTGTTACTGATGTCTTTCAACTGGTAATTCTTGCAGGAAGAAGTGTTTGGGGGTTTTTTTCTAGAAGTGTACTCATATAGGGATCCTGCAACTGTTACAGTTAAAAAATACAAATCTTTATCAATATTAGGTACTACTCATGATAGTAATCACTGTCACCAGTACCTACTGGAGAAAAATGTTACACCTTCTTTTTACTTGCATTTCCAGGTGTATGACAGCATCTAACACAGATTTGAAAGCTTTAGATCAGCCCTCCTTTTATATTCTAGAAGAACGTTGCTTGAGTACTCCTCTCCTGAAAAGTATACCTATTTATGTAGAAGAAAATATTTATAACTGCACTCAAAAAATCAAAAAGCCTCTGATCACATCTGTAATGTACTAAATTTAGGACTTTGCCACCACTTACTCAGTCTCAAAATCTGTTTCATGCAGTAAGTGTTTTGTGACTGATAATTATATCATCTTTGTGTTTAGTAAAGCTACATTTTGTTTTTTTCTTTTTCTCTGAAATGAGTTAACCCTGACTGGCTAAGATAAGCAGAAGTAGATTTTTCAGTAATTAATTAAAACTTTATTGGGTTTTTTTATGCACAGTGACCTGTTATGATCTTAAAAAAAAAAAAAAAGAAAAGGAACTTTTTTGTGTCTTTTAAAATTATTTTGGAAATCCACATCGACAAAACTAAGCTACCTTTATGAATTTTAAAAGCTTTTCAGTATTCCTTTATTTGATGTTGACATTTACTCTTAGAAAAAAAAATATAAAGAGAAAAATGCCTGTCTGGTGATTTTATTTCCTTACACCTTCATTTTTACTATGCTCACTGTGTCTTCTGTTATCTATTGTCTTTGGATTTTAAATTACAAGGGTTTTTAAAATAAACTTTTCTTTATATAACTTCTGAAATGTAAAGATTTCACCTTTCCTGACTTACCAGTTCTGGGCATTTGTGAGGCCAAGATTTGGTACTTTTAGGACTGCTTACTAGTAAATTATCAAAATCTAATAATTAATTCTATTTATCTGATACTAGAAAAAGTTTTGATGTAAATTTCTGTTAATAACAGTAAAGAAAAATCAGGGAAAATATAGTAGTATTTTAACCATATGGAATTCCAACTTGTAAAGCAGAACAAAACAAGGTGTCCTCAAATTTCAGTCTTACTTTCATGTAAGATTCAACTCTTACTTGGTAGCACTCACACTGCAGTCAAGTTCATGGTGTAGTCATGAAAGCCCTGCTTTCACCAAATATTTTATGATATTTATGTTCTTGTGACTTTCAAGCACCTGCTGGTCATTCACTAATGGATTGGAGCTAATCCAAAGTATAGGCAAAGCATTGACTACATAGGAGAAAAACACAAATTTAATATGTTGACCACATTCTAACAGATAATTTTCTTAATTTTTGCCTCATTTCCTTTAGACCAAGATTCTTAATATAAATCTTATAATTCTATGTAATCATGTCTTACTTACATCTTCCTTTCACTATTTAGAGGTGTGTGTATAGTTAAAAAATAGTATGTTTCTGTAGGAAGCTGTCTGTTCTGTCTCCCACCCATCTTTATTATTATTCCAAAACTCTTTTTAATCATGTGGCAGCCTTTTCTGTTTGAAGTCTTCAAGTATGCAAAAATTCTGTTTCCTTTCCTTCCTGTTACCCATTTTATGTTGACAGTAGGAAGGCAATTACAAGCTTTTAATGTTACCCTGGTATATCCAGTAAGAATTACTCCATTGTTTTGGTCAAAGGTGGTTTATGGCCTTCTGGACTGATAGGAGTTTTCCCGCCTTCCTGGTAGCAAACCTCAGCTTTCAGTGGCACTTGCAGACAAGTGTTACACAGAAGGTGGATCAAAGTTTTAGACTGTGGAAAGGGAGAGGTATTCCAGCCTGAGAACATTTCTGTCCTGTAGCTACGCTGGGTGAAATCACAATTTTGGCAGAATGTATTTCCAAAGTAAATGTGCTTGTGGTTCCATGAATCCCTTGATGTAAGCATCTCTCTTCTCCTCATGACAAAGTTGAGCTGCTCTGTCCTGTTGTGCCAAGTCTCACAAGACTTGGTTCTCTCTTCATTACCATGTCTGGAAATTGCTGAGAGCATATGTGCTTTGCTGTCACTTCATCCTTTCCCTGCATGTTAAAATATTTAATATAGCACATAGAAACCTTTAACTTAACAATAAATGTTCTAGTTCATGTATTGATTTTGCATTACCTTATTTACCTTAATAAGGGAAGCTGGGCTGGCTTCCAGAGTCATCATACTTCATCAAATCCATCTCTGTTTTATTTTCATTTTAACAAAGCAGACTTTATTTACTTACAGCTTGTTGGCAGCTGGATCTGTCCCGCTTGGCCTAATCTTCATTGTGCTGTTCTCTGCAGGTGTCTTTTACTCAGGGCAGGCTGTGTTACCTTTATCCGCTCACCCTGGCTGAGCCCAGGCTCTGGTGACACTTGCTCTTTGGAATGCAGACGTTTGGGACCAGGTGCCATGTGGCCCCTCCTGCCTGGACAGGCAGGGCCCAGGCTGGTACAGTGAGTGCTGTGAGACAGCATTGTGTTCTCTGAATCCATCCCTGACTCTGTACCTTCTGTGCTTCTTCATCTCTGACAGCGAGCAGGTGGGACAGCACTAGTGGGTTTGTGGAGGGTTTCAGCCCTGGGAAGCTGTGGCTCTGAGCACTTCTCTGGGGACACCTGTCTCCCATCAGCAGGACAGATTTTCCAAGGTGCTGTGGCCCTTTGTGACGGGCATCCCAGCGCAGTGCTCACAGACTGTGCTTTGAGATTCTCCCTCTTCTGGCTTTCTCTAAGCAATGGAAACAGTAGGTCAGCTTGAACCTAGAGCTGCAGAACAAGTCTGGCAAGGGGAGATGCCAGAGGCATCTGTCTTCAGTCTGTGCTGCTTGTGGTATGGATGGGGAGTATCTTTGGAGGCATCCTGTCGTCTGCATCTTTTCGCTCTGGATTCAGGTTGGTTTTCTGACAAAGATGACTGAAGCTCTAGGGTGGGGTTTTTTGTGTGTAGTTCTAGGAGTGTGATGAATAGGTGGCTGTGGAGATTGTCTGTCACAGGGTCTTTCCAATCCAAAGAAGTTCTGTGAAAAGGCACAGAGAGCAGCACTGTAATGTGGGTGTCTCATACTAATAGGTTTTTGTACTGGGTCAGACAGAGCTTGGTTAATCCATAACCTGAATAATTCACCACAAAGAGTGAAGAAGGGTCTAGAGGAGGAGCATCATCTGTGTCAGCCAAGGGGATGCAGATGTGGTACATCTTTTCCTGAAGCTATATGAGTAGTTCTGTGGGGTATTGGACATTCTTGTAAGGGAAGATGGAGTTGATTTGTGGGCAGGCTAGCAAAATGTGTGGATGCAGGAAATGTCAGACTGAACACACAAAAATAGCAGAAATATTTAAGTACCTGAAGGCTTCAGTGTAGCCAAAGCCTGCCTGGAGCCTGTGCAAACACTAGCATTTCTGGTCAGTGTTAAAGTCTGCCGCAACTTCATTCCTTTAGTCCCCACACTAGGGAGGTCCAAGTGTGTGAGGTTGTGTTTACTGTGTGCTGCATTCATGCCTTTGTTTGCTGGCTGCATAAAGGTGTTTAAAAGCGATTCATTTGAGATTTTGAGTTTCTGTGCCTGGGACTTTGATTGACCTGTCCTGCTTGAAATACTTGTGCACTTTTTCAATCAGAAAGATGGAGAAGAGACTTAGGTGTATCCATAGCAGAGATGATAAACTGGACCTGTGAGTGAGCAATTCAATATGACTAGTTCCAGATAGCATTGTGAATATCTGCATGAAAAACAGTTTTGCTTTGTCTTGTTAAAGCCTAACATGAACAACAATATGCTAAGGGCTTATGCTTATATATACTGTATCAGACACTGGGTGTATCAGCAGTCTGTAAATATTCAGGGTGTGGTGATGAGGGGAAACCACTATAATTAAAGAGATAATTACAAGAACAATGGCATTAGTGGGAGAAAATATATTTGTAAAGTCATCTTGTGCCACCTGTTGTATTTATGGAACAAAGTTCAGGTAATGCAAAAGCTCTTACCTTCTCAGGGCAGTTTGTTCTGAGCAGGGGAAGGGAAAAGTGGACCTCTTTCTTCTCTGATGATGGACCAGAGAGGAATTTCAGTAGCAGAAATGAAGAGTTATTATTTTTTCTCAGAATGGTGTTCATGGCTGGACTTTGTAGCGCAGGGTAAGTTGGCTTAACTTATAACTCCTAGATCTTGTAAATGTAAACAGACCTGTGTAGTCTGCTAAGTCAGGGTGTGTAAGGTGTGTGGCTTGGGGCTGTGCTCCTTAATAAAACATTTTAAACATGTTTTATATGTGCCAAAAAAACCCATGTATTTCAAGAGTCTTAATATAAACTTTGCTAGCTCATTGATCCTTGAAAACACACTGTTCATAGAAAACACATCATTGGAGAGTCTGAGTAGTAAATGGCAGTATTTGGGTTGTACTTAAAAACCCTTTTCCCAAAGGAAGTAAAACATCAGGAATTTTAGGATTTAAATTTCCATATAAGGCTTTTATATACTTTTTCTTTTTCAGACAGCATTCCTTAAACTTATTGTAATTTAATAACTAATTGATTTCTTTGGCTCAGGCAAGTTACTTGGTGAAAAGTGTGCACATCAGCAAAACCAGTCACAGCTGACATCCTTGCGGAGACAGAAAAGGTCCCAAGCAGGCTGTCCATCAAAAGTGAACTGTTTCTTCCCTGAAATTATTTTCAGAGCATCATTAGACAATTTAATAGCGATGTGTTCAGTATATGCTTTCTGATAAAGAGGTTATTACTATTCAGATACCAATTCAGCAACACTAGCAAATGTTTTT